GGGTCTCGAACCCACAGGCTCAGGCAGTCCACTCACCTCAGCCTCCCAAAGGCGTGGGATGACAGGCTGAGCCACCGAGCCTGGCTAGCGTTTAACTTTTGTTCGGCGTTTTGTGTAACGGAGCTTTTGCCTTGCAGGCGACATCGTGGGTCTGTATGACGCGGCTACCGAGGGCAGTCAGCTGGCCACTGGGATCGTGACCCGCATTACTCAGAAATTGCTCACAGTGGCCTTTGACGAGTCCCACGATTTCCAGCTGAGCTTGGACCGAGAGAGTTCCTACAGACTGTTGAAACTTGACAATGACATCACTTACCAGCGAATGAAGAAGTGAGTGTGACTGGCCATCCTCGCTGGCGTCTTCTGTAAACACCGCTAACGCTGGCCGCTTCCAGAACAAAAGAGCAGCAAGCCATGAGCCCCCCACACCCACGGTGGCAGCACTGGCAGGGGCTGGGGCGCTGACCCTCTGGGCTTTGCTGAGTTCTAACTGTGGCCTTCTTCCCGCCAGGGCTCTGATTGCACTGAAGAAGTATCACTCTGGCCCCACAGCCTCGCTCATAGACGTGCTCTTTGGCGTGGCGGCCCCCAGTCCGGCCAGCGAAATACGTAAGCACTTTGGGGTTTTCTTCCTTTTTCTCTCTTGAATCGGGGTCTCGCTCTGTGACCCAGACTGGAGTGCGTTGGCACGATCATGGCTTACTGCAGCCTTTTTTTTTTTTTGAGTCGGAGTCTCACTCTGTCACCCAGACTGGAGTGCAGTGACTGCTCCTGGCCGCCGCAGCCTCGACCTGCTGGGCTCTGGCGATCCTTCCACCTCAGCCTTCCAAGCAGCTGGAACTACAGGTGTGCGCTACCACGCCCGGCTGATTTTTTTTTTTGATTTATTGTAGAGATGAGGTCTCGCCAAGTGGCCCAGGCGGGTCTCAAACCCGCGGGCTCAGGCAATCCACTCACCTCAGCTCCCAAAGGCGTGGGATTACAGGCTGAGCCACCGAGCCCGGCTACCGCAGCCTTTAACTTCTGGGCTCAAGTGATCCTCCTGCCTCAGCCTCCCGAGTAGCTGGGACTACAGGTATGCACAAACACACTCAGCTTATTTTTTTTTAACCTTTTTTCATAGAGACGAGCTCTGACTATATTGCCCAGGCTGGTCCTGAACTCCTGGGCTCAAGCGATCCTCCCACCTCTGTCTCCCAAAGTGCTGGGATTATATGCCTGGCTCCTCCCTGTGGAAATTCTGATTAATTTTTCAGTATTTTATTTCTGCCATATATTGATTGAGGGGCCACTGTACAGCATTTGGAAATTATTTACTATGTTTTAGGGACCTCAGTATGTTTTGAGTTTAGCTATAACAAAGAGGCTGAGGTGTGGATTAGGGGGTTGTGCCTGGAACTTGGGAATCGATAGCCTGTCACTAGACCCATATTCTACCCTCATGGCTAGGGTTTTTTTTTTTTTTTAAGAGATGGAGTCTTGCTCTATTGCCGAGGTGGGGTTACGGTGGCACAATCATAGCTTACTGCAGCCTTGAACTCCAGGGCTTAAGTGACCTTACTGCCTCAGCCTCCCAAGTAGCTGAGACTACAGACGTGTGCCTTCACGCCTGGCTCCTGTAACTGTCTTACGTGCTGACCTCAGTCTCAGGAGTCTAATTGGCATGCGTGCCCATGACCCCTGCCCCTCATCATTTGGGCCCTTCTGGACGGGCACCGTGTCGTGAACGCTGTGACCACAAGACTGAGCAGGACAGTGCCTGCTCTCAAGAGCTCAGAGCCCAAGAAGCAGGTGGTTGTGGAAGATTCAGAATAGAAACACAGTCCTGGAATCCGTTCATCTTTTCTTGTCATTTGTTTTTGTTATTTGATGCGCAGTTAGAAGAGGGCCAGCGTGGTAGACATTTACATGTTCCAGGAAACACTGACCTCAGTGCCATTACTCTGGAGTGTGAGCTGGCCGCTTTTCCCAGAGGGCGACAGGTGGTGAACATTCAGGCCTTGTGGGCCACCACACAGAAGCAAGTGTTAACGGTGGTCTGTGCCTGGATGGGGGATGGCGTGCTCCATCGTACCGACCAGGACAGGCAGCCGGCTGGATGTGGTCCACGGTTTGCACCTGCCTGTTCGTGGAGAAACTTTTTTTGAAAATAAAGCCGATGACTCTTGCGTTGATTGCTCGGCCTTGTGGAGGTTAGCAGCTTCCTTGTGTTGCATACCCACGAGGAACACCAGTTAGAACAGCGATCGCCAAACTTTCGGCATCAGAGACTGGCATGGAAGACAGTTTTTCCATGGGGGTGGTTTCGGGATGATTCAAGCATGTGACATTTGTTGTGTACTTTATTTCTATTATTCCATTGTCATATGTAATGAAATAATTATACAAGTCCCCATTTTTTAAAAAAGAGGCATGGACGGAAGTGTTAAATAAAATCATGGGTGGGCCATGTTTGGAGTAAAAGAAGTGTCAGATGTGACCTAAAGCTGACCCCCAGACACAGCTGTATAACTGAAGTCTGTCCACTCACTTGCCACTCACTGGGAGGGTTTTGATATGAGTCTGCAAGCATCTGATGTATGGTGGTCTCTGAGCAGTCCAGCCTCCCTGCTCATGTTAATGTGTATTTGCAGCCACTCCCCAGCACTGGCATCACCGCCTGAGCTGCACCTCAGTTCATCAGGCATTAGATTCTCATAAGGAGCATGCAACCTAGACCCCTCGCATGCGCAATTCACAATAGGGTTCGCACGTCTATGAGAATCTCACGCTGCCGGTGATCTGACAGAAGGCGGAGCTCAGGCGGTCATGCGAGTGATGGAGACCAGCTGTAAACATAGATGAAGCTTTGCTCTCGCACCCGCCACTCGCTTCCTGCTGTGTGGCCCAGTTTCTAAGGTCTGTGGCGGGGGTTAGGGACCCCTGAACTAGCACACTAGAGTCTGACGTGGTCGCTTCTTCCGCAGACGCGCTCACGTTCTTCAACGCCTCCCTGGATGCCTCCCAGCAGGAAGCGGTTTCTTTTGCGCTGACCCAGAAGGAACTTGCCATCATCCACGGACCTCCTGGCACTGGGAAGACCACGACTGTGGTCGAAATCATTCTTCAAGCTGTGAAGCAAGGCTTAAAGGTGGGCAGCGGGTGGGGCCTCCCGTCATGCCCAGCAGGGTCCCAGTCTCGGGTGGGGAGGGGTTGAGGAGGGCTTGGTTGGGCTCATCACCGGGTGCTCATTAATGAAGGATGGGCTGACCCTTTTGTTTCTTTTTTCTTTTTCTTGTTGGAGTTGGAGTCCTACTCTGCTGCCCAAACTGGAGCGCAGTGGCACGATCCTGGCTCAGCACAGCCTTGACCTCCTGGCTGTCTTGCCTCAGCCTTCCAAGTAGCTAGGACTACAGCACGCACCAACACACCCAGCTCATTTTTTTATCTTTTTGTAGAGACGAGGTCTTGCTATGTTTGCCCAGTCTGGTCTTGAACTCCTGGGCTCAAGCGATTCTCCTGCCTCAGCCTCCCAAAGTGCTGAGGTTATAGGCGTGAGCTGCCACACCTGGCAGCCCTTTGGATTTCCTGCCGTCCCATGAGACTTGGGAAACCGACCCAGAAACACTGGCCTGGGTTCCCGAGAAAGAATCTGGAAGTCTCTGTGGTTGCAGAAGCTTTTGTGGACAGACGACTAGGGTGCAGTGCGGGTGGTTTAACTGGGCACCTTCTATTTAAATTAAAAGTAAGCTAGGACTTTGTTGTGTGTGTGAGCATGCTGGGGGTGGGTGGGGTTGGTCAGGGCCCGTTCTGTGATTTTCAGGAGTCCAGTGTCTGGTCGAGGGAGAGAGGGTATTACAGTTAATCAGATAGTCTGGCTGATAGGACACGTGTGTGCAGCTCACATATGACTGCTTTCCTGAGAAGTAGAATATAAAGTTCATTGTCCACTTACATTCTTTATGCTCGAAAAAGGGCCTTTTGAAACTATTTATTTATGTATATATTCTTTGTTTCTTTGTTTCTTTTTTTTTTTTTTTTTTAAGAAATGAGGTCTTGCTGTGTTGCCCAGGCTGGTCTTGAACTCCTGGGCTTAAGCAGTCCTCCCGCCTCGGCCTCCCAAAGTGCTGGGATTACAGGTGTGAGGCACCACACCCAGCAAATTTTTGTATTTTTTATAAATACGAGGTCTTGCTATGTTGCCCAGGCTGGTCTTGAACTCTTGGGCTCTAGTGAGCCTCCCACCTGGGCCTCCCCAAGTGCTGGGATGACAGGCATGAGCCCCTGGGCCTGGCCTTCCTTCTCTCTTTCCCTCTGGGCTTTCCGCTGTTTCTGTGTCACCTCAAGTGGTTTAACAGAGAAGTGAGCGCACCCTAACCTGAGCCCGGTGTCCCCAGGTTCTGTGCTGTGCGCCCTCCAACATTGCCGTGGATAATCTGGTGGAGCGTCTGGCTCGCTGCAAGCGCCGGATTCTGCGCCTGGGGCACCCTGCGCGCCTCCTGGAGACCATCCAGCAGCATTCCCTGGACGCGGTCTTGGCCCGGAGCGACAGTGCCCAGATTGTCGCGGACATCAGGAAGGACATCGACCAGGTCTTCGTATGTGTCTCAGCTGGTGTCTGCTTGGCGGGTGGTGTTCCGGCCCTGGCCTTCCAGGCAGTGGTCCCTCTGCACGCCTCTCGCTTTTCTCTTGGGCCCGTCAGTTCGTTTACTCATTTTGAAAACTGGACTGCCCATTTCGGTGTTTGTTTTTAAGAGACAGCATCTTGCTCTGTCGCCAAGGCTGGAGTGCTGTGCCGTAATCACAGCTCACTGCAGCCTCGACCTGCTGGACTCAAGTGATCCTCCTGCCTCAATTTCCAGAGTGGCCAGGACTACAGGCGTGTGTCATCACACCTGGTTAATTTTTAAATGTGTGTAGAGATGGGTCTCACTGTGTTGCCCAGGCTGGCTTTGAACTCTCCCTCAAGTGATCCTCCTGCCTTAGACTTCCAAAGTGCTTGTACAGGTTTGAGCCACTGCACCTGGCCTGGACTGCCTATTTTCTTTTTTTTTTTTGAGTTGGAGCCGCTCAGACTGGAGTGCAGTGGCACGCTCTCGGCCACTGCAGCCTCGACCTGCTGGGCTCCGGCGATCCTTCCGCCTCAGCCTTCCAAGTAGCCAGAACTACAGGTGCGCGCTACCACGCCCAGCTAATTTTTTTGATTTATTGAAGAGATGAGATCTCGCCAAGTTGCCCAGGCAGGTCTCGAACCCCGCGGGCTCAGGCAGTCCACTCACTTCAGCCTCCCAAAGCGCTGGAATTAGAGGCTGAGCCACCGAGCCCGGCTAGACTGCCTATTTTCAATAGAGAATTGTACTCAGCATTTTTTTTTTTATTTTTGGGTCAGAGTCTCACCCTGTCACCCAGGCTGGAGTGCAATCGCACGTTCACAGCCACCATAGCCTCGACTTGCTGGGCTCCGGCGATCCTTCCTCCTTAGCCTTCCAAGTAGCCGGAACTACAGATGCGAGCTGCCATGCCCATCTAATTTTTTTTTTTTTTTTGCTTTATTGTAGAGACAAGGTCTCACCCAGTTGCCCAGGCTGATCTCAAACCCTGTGCTCAGGCATTCTTCTCACCTCGGCCTCCCAAAGTGTTGGGATGACAGGCTGAGCCACTGAGCCCGACCTGAGAGAGTGTTTTTGAATCTCTCGGAAAACATGGACCGCTAAGTGGGTCTCGGCCTGTCTGCGAGTGAACGCCTGCAGCCCAGGTCGTGTGCGGGGCAGTGGCTGCCGCTTCACCTGAGGGGGTCAGCAGGACACCGTGCAGGGCCGGGCAGGTCCTGACTCATCTGAGTTTACGGTGATGAGCAGTCTCCTTCCAGGACTTCAGACGTTCCCCTCCAGCCCTCCCTGTGCAGGTGACCATGACATTCAGGTGACTTAGAGTCTACGGTGCTTAGTCTCGCTTGTGGCTGTGGCTTCTTCAGGAACAGTTCTTGACGTGAACAGCTTTTCTGGAAGGTTATTGAGCTGCGCAACGAATGACAGACAAAAGCACCTCATAGATGGAGTGAAAAAAGTACAGAGTCCTGTGGATAATTGGTTTTGGCTTCCCTTTGTAGGCCAAAAACAGAAAGACCCAGGATAAGAAGGAGAAGAGTAATTTTCGGAACGAAATTAAGCTTCTGAGGAAAGAGCTGAAGGAACGGGAGGAGGCGGCCATGCGGGAAAGCCTCGCCTCAGCGGATGTGGTCCTTGCCACAAACACAGGTGAGGGGTTGCCACCCCCCTCCCCCTGCTGTGTGGCCTCAGAGAAGGAGTTGGGGTGCTCCCTCTTCAGTTTTCTTTCTTTTTTAGATTTTTTTTGAGTCGGAGTCTCACTCTGTCACCCAAGCTGGAGTGCGGTGGCACGCTCATGGCCACCGCAGCCTTGACCTGCTGGGCTCCAGCGATCCTTCTGCCTCAGCCTCCTCAGTAGCTAGAATCACAGCCCTATGCCAGCATGCCTGGCTAATTTTTTGATTTATTGTAGAGACGAGGTCTTGCCAAGTTGCCCAGTTTAGCCTGGAACCCCTGGGCTCAGGCAGTCCTCTTGTCTCAACCTCCCAAATGTAAGGATTACAGGCATGAGCGACCGTGCCGGCTTGAAAGGGTTTTTGTAGAACTGGTATTTTTTCCTTAAATGTTGGGTACAGTTCACCAGTGAAACCTTCTGAATCTGAAATATTCTTTGCAGAGTTTTTAACTAGAAATTCTGGCCGGGTGCATTTTCTCATGCCTGTAATTCTAGCATTTTAGGAGGCCAAGAAGGGGGGATTGCGTGATCCCAGGCATTCAAGACCAGCCTGGACAACATAGTGAGACCTTGTGTCTACAAAAAATAAAAAAATAAGCCGGGTGTGGTGGCACACACCTGTACTTCCAGCTACTTGGAAGACTGAGGTGGAAGGATCGCCTGAACCCAGGAGGTTAAGGCTGCAGTGGCCATGAGTGTGCCACTGCACTCCAGCCTGAGTGACATAGTGAGACTCTAACTCAAAAAATTAAATTTGTAGTTAAACACTTTTTTCTTTTTTTTTTTTTTTGAGTTGGAGTCTCACTCTGTCACCTAGGCTGGAGGGCGGTGGCACAATCACAGCTCACTGCAGCCTCAACCTCCTGGGCTCAGGTGATCCTTCTGCCTCAACCTTCAGAGTAACTGGGACGGCAGGTATGTGCCTCCACTCCCAGCTAATTTTTTTGAATTTTTTTTTATTAGAGGCAAGGTATCCCTATGTTGCCCAGGCTGGTCTCCAACTCCTGGGCTCAAGCAGTCCTCCTGCCTCGGACTCCCAAAGTGCTGGGATTACAGGCATGAGGCACTGTGCCCAGCTCACACAGTTTGAACACAGGCTTTAACCGGGTGTGGTGGTGCACGCCTGTAGTTCCAGCTTCTTGGAAGGCTGAGGGAGAAGGATCGCCTGAGCCCAGCAGGTAGAGGCTGTGAAGACCATGAGCGTGCCACTGCACTCCAGCCTGGGTGACAGAGTGAGACCCGTCTCAGAGAAAAAAAGATCTTCACTGTGACTCAGCTCATCCCCTTCACTGTGCCTGCAGCCCTGGGGAAGCCACCAGCGTCCCCTGCAGGCTCCGTCTCCCTCTCTCAAGCAGGAGCTTCTCCCGACGGTCCTCTCAAGTTGCTGCCCGAGGGCCACTTTGACATCGTCGTCGTGGACGAGTGCGCCCAGGCCCTGGAGGCCAGCTGCTGGATCCCGCTGCTGCAGGCCAGAAGATGCATCCTGGCTGGAGACCACAAGCAGCTGCCCCCCACCACCGTCTCGCACAAGTGAGGCCCCTGGTGCAGGCGCCCTTCTCTGCCCCTCCCTGCCTCCCCTTTATGTGTCCTTCTGGTCCAGCGGCTGGTTCTGGACTCGCGGGGAGGCCTCCTCTGCACGCTGCCTGGTCATCCCTCTCACCCCGTTTCATCACGTTTGTTTGTCCAGATACGGGATCTGGCACGCCTTTATCTTTGCAGCCTGAGATCCGCCTGGACCCGGCATGTTGCATTGCATGTCCCCTCGTGAGCCAGGCGGGTTTGGTGGCGGCGTCCCTTGGGTTGGGCTCACCGGCCGTGAGTCAGCTGACAGCTGACATAGATTCCTCGGCCCTCATCCTGCAGACATGTCCCCAGATGGTGGACGCTGGGTGGGGAACACAGCGAGGCATGTTCCGCCCTGCAGAGACATCAGTGCTCTGGGGCTGTGGCCTGGCACAGGCTGCCCTGGTGGCAGGAGGAGCTGCCCTTGCCTCCTTCTGGCCTCTTTCCCACGCTCTCCCGCCCTGCGTGGGCCACAACGGCCTGGTTGTCCCCTGGCCTGGACCATGCCACCCCTGGAGGTGTGGGGTGCGTGCACCCTTCATGACCCCTCCGCGGGGGGTCCCGTGACTGCCCTGTCCCCTCAAGTCCCTTGTCCCAGCTGACTTAATTTCTTCACACGTGTCACTCCTGACGGTGCCGGTTGTCACCTGGCCACTTGCTGACCTTCCCTTTTAGAATGTAAGTTTTGTGAGGTTTGTGAACGGGCCTGGCATGCAGGCTGTCTTTGAACAAGTCTGAGTTCAGGAAGGCGTCCTTGAGGAGTAGCGCTCTTCAAGGAGCTGTCCTTCCACCTGGAGAAGATTGCTTTCTCTGGTTCCTCCCTCCCTCCCTCCCTCCCTCCCTTTCTTCGGGGTCTCACTCTGCTCCCAGGCTGGTGTGCAGTGGCATGTCCATGGCCGCACAGCCTTGACCTACTGGGCTCGGGCGATCTTTCAGCCTCCGCTTTCCGAGTAGCTGGAACTCCAGGCGTGCACCACCACACCTGGCTAATTTTTTGATTTATTGTAGACACGGGGTCTCGCCAAGTTGCGCAGGCTGGTCTCGAACCCCTGGTCTCAGGCAGTTCTCGTGCCTCAGCTTCCCAAGGCTGGGCTCACAGGCGAGGGGTCCCTTGCCTGACTTTCCTCTGCTTTCTGTTGCTCTCTGGAGTGCGCGCAGGCGTGTTGGAGTCACGAGCTGGGGGCTTGCGGGTTTTCTGAGGACTGGAAGCTGAGCCAGCAAGTCTGTGACGTGTAATCTCATAAGAGGGCTGTGGGCCGCCGACCTCAGAGAAGGAGTCCTCAGGGATACTGCCCCAGAGCAGGAGCTTGCGAGCAGGTGCTTGAAGCAAAGATCGGGGACTGTCCTATGGGAGCGTGCAGGGGTCGGAGCGGAGACTCCCCAGTCGAGGAGGGGTGGGGTGGGGTGTTGATTTGTCGGCTTGTCCTGGGAGGCTCTCCGGCATCCTCAGAAGAGGGCCTCGTCCTCCAGAAAGCTTTGGGTGGAGGACGTCGGGGACCCCGTTGTGTCCCTGGAGAGAGAGAGAGTAGGCTGGTGTGGGACGCTGGGCGGAGGCGGGCTGGGAGCTTCTGGGGCTGCCTCGGTTTGGGTCACCACGTGGGCTCAGGTCATCGCATGATGGCCTCCCTCCTCGGCGTTGGCGGTTGTTAGTTGCGAGCTCATGGCATGGAGGGTGACCACAGTGGACTTCGGAGCTCCGGGGGGGTCTCGGAAGGGGACTTAACGGTCTTCCCAGTTCCACTTTCCAGATAACCGGCGGGGTTTGATGGTGGTCCACTTGGAGGGAGATGCTGCAGATGGTGGGTCCTGACTCTGCAGCTCAGCAGCTGGGCGGCCTGGGGCGGGTGCCTCAGCCTCTCTGTGTTATGCTCCCTTTACTGTAACGGGAATCATAACAACACCCGCCTCCCAGGGCTGCGAGGACTAAGTGAGTTAATTCACATGTGGTGTGCCTGTGCCTGGCTCCCGGGAAAGTCAGAGACTGCCAGCTGTTCCCAGGAGGAGCAGGCCCTTGCGTGAGGGTGGATGAGGGCTCCCTGTTTCACTTACCTCTACCGAGTTCCCATCGCTGCTGTAACAGATCACCACAAACGTGGTGGCTTCAAACAGCACAGGTTTACGAATTCATACTGCCAGAGGCCAGATGTCCTAAGTCAGCCTTACTAGGTGCAAGTCAAGGTTTGACTGGTTCTTCTGGAGACTTCAGGGGAGGACCTGGGCCTCGCCTTCTCTGGCTTTTAGAGACCACTCACATCTCAGGGCTGGTGGCGCTTTCTTGTCTTCGAAGCCAGCCACGTGGCATCTGCCAGGCTTTCGTCATGTGGCCTTCTCTGACGCCCCCAGGCTCTGTGACCAGAACAGGGATAACGTAGGGTCTCTGACCTTACCACAGAGTTGTGTCGTCACACGAGGGACACATATTCACAGATCCTGGCGCGTAGAGTGTAGGCGTCTTTGGGGCTGTGATTCGGCCCCCCCTCCCCTGGGTCGCCTTTCGGGGGGAACCCGGGTGAGGGGCTCCTGGGGTTTGGGCCACCCTCCTCGCTCGCCCGTGGCTTCCCACCTGCACCCGGGACTCAGGCCCTCCTTCCTGCCCCTCCCCGTGTACAGGGCCGCGCTGGCAGGACTGTCGCTCAGCCTGATGGAGCGCCTGGCCAAGGAGCAAGGGACGGCGGTGCGGACTCTCACCGTGCAATACCGCATGCACCAGGCCGTCATGCGCTGGGCCTCGGAGGCCATGTACGGCGGGCGGCTCACGGCCCACCCCTCCGTGGCGGGCCACCTCCTCAGGCGAGTGGCTCCTCCATCCCCCGCCCGGCCTCCCCTCCTTGTCCTCCTTCCCCGAGCGGCCCACCCGCATCCCCTGTTTCTAAGCAGCTAGCCAGCCTGAAGCATGTTCTGGAAGGTTCTGACTTTCTGGAAGGGACGTGGCCTCGCCCTCGAAGCTGGCTTGGGCCTGCTCAGGGTCCCCACTGTGGCTCCTCAGGGCAGGCCCCGCCCCCATTCCCTCTCAGGAAGGGTCTTGGCCACCCCCTGGCCTGGCCTTGACCCGTGGCCTTCCTGCCCGATGCCAGGGACCTCCCGGGCGTGGCCGCCACCGAGGAGACCGGTGTACCACTGCTGTTGGTGGACACGGCCGGCTGTGGGCTCTTGGAGCTGGAGGGGGACGAGCAGTCCAAGGGAAACCCCGGTGAGCCTGTGGGGGGCGGGGGTCTGTAGAGGGCGGCCTGATCGGGGAGCCGAGTGAAGGACAGGAGGGGAGGGACCTGGAGTCCAGCACCCCGGAGGCTGGGATCACCCGTGCTGTCCTCGGGGCAGGCCAGTTCAGCGGGGCAAGCCAGCGGTATCTCAGTCTCCCCCGGGCACAGTGGCCTGTCTGCCTGGCAGGTCTGGCCATGAGACGACTCAGGCGACTTCTCCCACCTCCCGGCCTCAGACTCCCAGGATGCACGCCCACGTGTCCCCAAAAGGTGCTCGTTGTCATGTGAAATACAGGTCAGGCTGAGCACAGTGGCTCACGCCTGTCACCCCAGCACTTTGGGATGCCAAGGCGAGAGGATTGTCTAGGCCTAGGGTTTTGAGACCAGCCTGGGCAACTTGGTGAGACCTTGTCTCGCCAATAAATGGAAAAATTAGCCGGGCATGGTGGCGTGCTACTTGGAAGGCTGAGGCGGAAAGATCGCCTGAGCCCAGCAGGTCGAGGCTGCGGTGGCTGTGAGCGTGCCACTGCCCTCCAGCCTGGGTGACAGAGTGAGACTCTGACTAAAAAAAAAAAAAAAGTAGTTCAGGTCAACTGGGCGCTGCCACCCTGGCCGCCCTCTGACTCAGTGACCTGCTCCCACGAGACCACTTAGGCACAGGGTGGGATCAGCCGGTCATGACAAAATAGCGCAAAGGACAGGTGCCAGCCAGTGTGTCCCTCATCTGCAAGCCCACTCTCTCTCCCCAGGCGAGGTGCGCCTGGTGGGTCTGCACATCCAGGCCCTGGTGGATGCTGGTGTCCCGGCACAGGACATCGCCGTCATCACACCCTATAATCTCCAGGTGAGAGAGGGACCCAGGTGAATCCGCAAAGCAGGTGGGACTCACCCAGCCCAGGGGCTAAAAGGACAGGGTGATTTGTTGGCCATTGTGACCAGAAAGTCCAGAGCTAGGGTGGGCTTCATTGTGATCGGGTCCAGGGCCCACAGGACATCAACAAGAGCCCTTCCACCCGCCTGTCCATCTGTCTGTCCTCCATTTGTCTGTCCATCTGCTTCATTCTGCCACGCCCCCGCCCCATCCTGACCTCTCCGCCTGGTTCCCCTGTGCTGTCTCTGTTTAACGGCCAGTTCTTCTGGGTGCCCGGCAACCGTGGGCCAAGGCTGGTGAGGCAGCCTGTCCATCCGTGGGGTTTCCCACAGAGGCTCTCCTTGTGAGTCTTCCTGGTTTGGCTCAGGTGCCTTCCACATCCCTCCCTTAGTGGGAAAGGCACGCCTGGCTGTGTGTGGCGACTCATGCCTGTCATCCCAGCACTTTGGGAGGCTGAGGCAAGAGGATCGCTTGATGCCAGGAGTTCAAGTCCAGCCTGAACAACACAGCAAGAGCTCGTCTCTACAAAAAATAAAAATAAATTCGCTGGGCATGGTGGCACATGCCTGTAGTTCCAGCTACTTGGGAGGCTGAGGCCGGAGGCTCACTTGAGCCCCAGAGGTTGAGGTGCAGCGAGCTCCAGCCTGGGTGACAGAATGAGACCCTGCCCCAAAACAAGAAAAAGCAGAGGGAAAGCACACCTGCTCAAGTATGGTGGGATCCGGGGAACCGGTTGTTCCCTCCCCTGGTGTAGGTGTCACACACAGGGTTGCGGCCGGAAGCTGTCAGACGCCAGAAGAAGTGACACAACGCCACAACGGGGTGTCAGGCCTGCTTGTCTGTGTGTCTGAGAAGGGCATGTGGGGACACCATGGGGCTCCTGCAGGGCTCCCTGGGCCACGGCGCCTCCGCGGGGGCTGCGTGAGGCAGCCACGGTCCCACCGCTCTTCCAGGTGGACCTGCTGAGACAGAGCCTCGCGCACAGACACCCAGAGCTGGAGATCAAGTCCGTCGACGGGTTCCAAGGCCGGGAGAAGGAGGCTGTGGTCCTGTCCCTCGTCCGATCCAACAGGCGAGGTGAGCGTCCACACTGTCCTGGCCTCTGGCGGTGGGGCAGGCTGTCCCCAGCACAGCCCAGGGGGGCAGAAAGCGGGGAGGGGGGGTGTTCCAGGCAGAGGGAATAGAATCTGTGGAGGCCCAGAGGCACGCGCGTGCGCTCAGGGTGCAGTTCGCTGGGGTGCGGGCTGGGAGCACACCCTGGGCTGGAAGTGGCCTGGACGGCCTTCCGAGGGATGGAGCCCCAAGCCCAGAGCTTGTCTTCAGCCTGATGTGGATCAGCCTCAGGGGTGGTTCTCATGTTGCTGGGGTTTGCGGGTGTCTCGTTCAGTGAGAAAGTTGTGCCCAGGCCAGACTCGATGGCTCAGGCCTGTAATCTGAGCACTTTGGGAGGCTGAGGCAGGAGGATCACCTGAGCCCAGGAGGTTGAGGCTGCGGTGAGCCATGAGTGTGCCACTGCCCTCCAGCCTGGGCGGCAGAGTGAGACCCTGACGCAAAAAAAAAAAGTTGTGCCCAGAATCACAGTTTGTAGATGGGCTTCGTGTTTCTGGTGGGAGGTTGACAGCAGAGGGGGCAGTGGGTCTGCTGCGTGGGGAGAGGATAGAAAGCCCCGGGCGGCCCGTGCGTGTCCCTCCGTGTCAGCTGCAGCCACGTTCCCTGTGCAGTCCCAAGTCTGGGCTTAGGAAGGAGTCGCCTTGGAAGCAGTGACACTCGGGGCTACCGGCACCCACACCGGGTTCCCCGAGCTCCACTGGTCCCTGTGGCAGCCAGTGCCAGGCAGGTGTGGCGTGACTGCGACCGTGTGGAGTCGGGCAGTGTGGGGTGTGCAGGCGGCCAAGGGTGCTGAGGACATGGCATGTGGTGGTGGCTGCCGACTAGGCGAGGGGCCTGCTGCCATTCCTCGGCCAGGGCCTGCCCCCACTCTGCTCTGGCCCTTCCGCAGGTGACGTTGGCTTTCTTGCTGACGACCGGCGGATCAACGTGGCCGTCACCCGCGCACGGCGCCACGTGGCCGTCGTCTGTGACTCGCGCACCGTCGCCAGCCACGCGTTCCTGAGGACCCTGGTGGAGCACTTCACAGAGCACGGGGAGGTGCGCACGGCCTTTGAGTATCTGGATGACATCGTCCCGGAAAACTACTCTCACGAGGGTCCCCAGGGCCACGGTCACAGCACCGGGAAGCCCCGAGGCCCCGCCCCATCCACCGGAAAAACTCCCGGGCAGCAGGGGGGCGGCCGGGAACCCAGAGCAGCCACCAGACGGGACGGGAAGAAGCCGAGTGGGACGCCCACGGGCTCCAAGGCCCCTGCTCACCCTGGCCTTGGTGGAAGCGGCCTGGAGGGCGCCGAGAGCAGAGACGGCGTGGACCGCTTCCGCGCCGTGCTCGCGGGGTTCGTGGCCAGTGACGAGACGCAGCTGGAGTTCCCTGCGTCCCTGAGCTCCCACGACAGGCTGCGGGTCCACCAGATAGCCGAGGAGCTGGGACTGCGGCATGGCAGCGCTGGGGAGGGGAGGCAGCGGGCCGTCACTGTGAGCAAGCCGGCCCTGGAGGCCCCGACACCCCCAGCCGGGCCTGGTGGCCAAGCCCCCCTTCCACCGGTGCCCCCCGGCCCTGCTGAGACCGAACACCCCCCCGAGGAGCAGCGTGGCCCAGCCCCGCTGGATCTTAGGGCGCTGCACATGGAGAGGCCACAGGGGCCGAGGGGTGGGCAGGAGCAGCCCCCCAAGAAAGGCCAGCAGAAGATTCTGGAAAGGAAGAAGAAAAAGGAAGTGAAAGGTGAGTCGTGTCAGCTAATGACCCAGTTGTGGCGCCCCTCCTGGGGGTGTCGGCCCTGCTGCGGAAAGAATCAGAGGCCAAGCTGGGCTCGGTGGCTCAGCCTGTCATCCCGCGCCTTTGGGAGGCTGAGGTGAG